ACTAGTTTAGGTGCCAAGAATTTTGCACAGCTATCAATATTCACCTCAGTTTTACAGCCTTCATGAGGGCACCCTGCCACCATCCCATTCAGAAACTTTACTTCCACATGTTGTTTCATACAAGAGAAGCAATACCTGTGTAGACAACCATCGATTGTAAACATTTCAGTAACATCAATTTCTTCAAAGCAAATTACACAAGTCTCCTTCAAACTCTTTCCTTCACTAGTTTCTGCGTGCCAGGTGATCTGAGAAACAATAGCCTCCCTTGCAATCTTAAGTGCAAACTTAATGTCACTACGAGCCACAAGAGAAGGGCTGCAATATTCAAATTTTTTCTGTAGAAGAGCCACTTGATTAACTAACGTTGCAACCTTGCTATTTCCAGGTTGCACTCTGTTTGTGACCTGTATTCGTAAGATGTCAATCATCTAGGCAAGTGCCACCACTTCGGAATTTTCTGTTAAAGCATGCTTTATTCATAAACACAAAAAACAACCATCTATGAAACACATGGGTTTTCTGGATATGCTTCCTTGATGAGTTACGTATAAAATTCTAACATATTGATTTGAAACTAGTAACTGGCTTTAACACACGAGCAGCAAACAGAGCACAATGTTCAACATGCCAATTTGAAACTTCGGGATAGGGTTTATCAAAACAACTGTTAATTCTCCTTCCAAATCCCAAATATCAAATTGCTTGAGATTAGACCTTGCAGCTTCTGCAGCTAAATTAACAGTCCCAATCACTTTCACAAATTAAGGAGCAATATTTGTTACCTTGCACTTAAACCAATTAACCCAACCGAACCACTTAGCTAAAGACCAACAAAGCAAATCACTACGATTGATATCCCGGTTCAACAACTACAGTGTAAGACTAGAAATTGTCAATTCAATTACCTTTGTCACACTTCTCACTAAACCCACACAATGTGGCAATGCCCCATATACCAAAATACCCAAAAGTTCATACAACCAAAGATTGCAACAAGCCAAGAAAGTCTAACACTATTGTCCTTAACAAAACACACAAACTTTCACCCAATAATTCCAAACAAGAAGCACAAAAAATATTAAATTAAATTCACAAAACAAAAAGATTGATAATTAAAAAGCGATTGTGTAATTGCTAAAACTCACATATCGGTAAATCATGTAGTCATCACAGAAAAAGGTCACAGCTTCCAAGTCAAGAGTGAGAGCATTGTTAAGCCCTTCAATGATGGCCTCGAGCTCCGCCGCCTCATTGCTCAGCATGACGCCGTCAACCACCGCCTCCAGATTCTTCCTCGCCTCGAATATTAGATTGTCCATCGGGTCGCAGATCGCGACACCCACCCCGGCCACCACGGACTTGACATCCCTAACCATCTCCTCGCTCACCAAACCCTTGCAATACAGCCTCAAATTCTCAGTCTCCACCACCACCGCAGGTTTTGATGATGACGCGCCGTCCGTACAGTACGGACGCTGGTAATACTCGCCGTGCTGGGCCCAATAGTCCTCGGGCACGTCGCGGAGTTCGACGGCGAACTTCTGATCGTGAATCCGACGGCTGAGATCCTCTTTCGCCTTCATCATTTCCAATACCGTGCGTTCGTGGTCCTCGAGCTCCTGAGCGAATCGCTCGACGTCCTCGAGCATCAGAGCGGCGGCTATGTCCAAGACGGCGTCGTTTGAGCATTCGTGAGGCGGCGACGGCGGTGGAGAGTTGTGCAAGCTCGAAGAGGGTACGAGGGCGAGAGAGGCGGTCATGGCTTCCTGCATTTGGAGCTTGAAGGCCATTTCGAGGTCGGAGTCTAGAGTTTGGGCCGCCATGAGCTCCCTGCGTTGCTCGGAGAGAATATTGTCGAGGTCGTGTCCACCCGTATGGTTATCCATGATCGGCCTCTTTTCGGGGTCGGAGTCTAGAGTTTGGGCCGCCATGAGCTCCCTGCGTTGCTCGGAGAGAATATCGTCGAGGTCGTCTCCGTCCGTACGATAATCCATGATGGGCCTCTTTTCGTGATCGGAATCTAGAGTTTGGGTCGCCATGAGCTCTCTGCGCTGCTCGGAGAGAATGGTGGCAGAGTGGTTGTTTTTCTTTTGCTGCTGAGACTGGGTTTGTACTCGGGGAGTGAAAGCGACGGACTAAAAAAATCAAGAGGGGAAAAAGCGGAACTTGTTAGGGAAGGTAGAGGAAACAGGAGAGATTTTTCAGCCACGTGTCTTGTAAAATTACTTTGACTAAGGTTGACTAACCTTTTAAACAGATCGTTATTCTTTTAGACCCTACCATATTGTAATTTGTTGTAAAATCAGCCCTGTACGTGTAGTAAAATAAATGAAGCAAAACACAAAATTTATGAGGTTTTTTTATATATAATGTGATTGGAATACGTCTTCGGGATACCAGTAGTATTTTCATTTATAGGAACAATAGAAATACAAAGATAAGTCGCATATTTTCTTTCTATTTTTTCTCTCCTTCTTTCTTCCTTTTGTTCCTGCCATATGGCTTATCTGTACATAGCCTATGTGCATGGTCTAAAATATTCATAATATCCCAATATTTCTATCGAAATTTCTGTGTTTTTGGACTACCGATATTTTTTTGAACTACCGATATTTCCGATATCATCGATATTTTAGACCTTGCTAAGTCACTCATGTATCTTACCATGCAATGTATAAAGTATAAAATATTGTATTAATTCATTATATATAAATGATTATGGTATGTTTAAGCTTCTTTCATTAATTACTACATATTTTCTACACTCACAATGTTTGCCAGCTCACTATATAATCAACTTAAATCAATTATATCTATCATGCAATTCATTTCCTTCCAATTTTTTGTGATAAACTAATAGATAATTGACTAAATAAACATCCTACAAAGTTTCAATAAAAATTTCCGTGATTTTTATTCAATTTTTATCGATATCGATAATATCCCGATATTTCCATCGAAATTTCCTTATTTTTGAACTACCGATATTTTCGATATCATCGATATTTTATACCTTACCTGTGTGTTCCTCTTTCTTATTTATAGGCAAAGGAATGATATTTAAAAAACCAAAGTGCTGCTTTCGCGCAGCCACCATATTTGGTCCCCCTTTTTTTATTGGAAATTTTAACGAAACATTTTTAGTATTATTTACTTTTAAGGAAAATGATATTTTTACTTTAAAAAGTCATTTTTGGTACTATTCACTTACAACATCTTTTTATCATTTTGAATAAAACTCAAAGTTTTCAAGTTATTTTCATTAGTTTTCCTTTTTTTATTTG